TACTGTGGAGTCTTGATTTTCTTGCGATAAACTGTATTTTTAAAAATTAATGTAATCTTTCTGTGCATATAATCAATAAAGAACCTACAGCAAATATTTAGAATTAATTATAATAAATTAACAACACTGTTCATTTTAAATACCGAAGCATTAAAAAAATGTCAGCTTATCATGTGTAATTTTGTCAATGTGAGAGACTGACAAAAGAAAAACTGTTAAAAAGTAGTTTTTAGTAAAATACGTCAGACATTAAAGCAGTAGATTTACGCTACAGAGTATGATTTTTCCTCTAAAGACTGGACCCAGGAGGTGTGTTTTTAAGATAACTATGCAGGTGGTCGAGCTGCCGACACACAACCTCACAACGCCCCCAAACTCAACCTACGTGAGGTTAGCCTGACCAGTTATCCTGGCAATAAATGAAGAAGATCAGAGTGTGCAAGGTGGACCGCAGTTTGTGTGGCGTAGTTGTGACAGAAACAATCATCAAGGGGAAAATGGCCAAAGCCAAGAAAATGAAAGAAACAACGTTAAAAACTAGAAGAAAAAATGATTTGTTAGAATCAAAGATGCGAAGAAATAGTTTTTTGTTCATATATCTGCTTTTCATAGTATTATACAGGTGATTTTACAATCTTTTACATTACGTCTAATGTCAGTAAGATACGTTTCCTTATCGTCTTACTGATTCAAACAACCAAACTTGTCTTTTTGAAAAGTTTTTTATTGAATTCAACAAATGCTTTTGTCTAACATGAGGACCCCTTCAGCAAGCGCTCAGGGAGGGATGAGTTTTGTTTCCTTATTTAAGAGATCAGGGCTTCATTGAAGACATTGATATATTCTTTTGAGCTGAGCCAAAAGACAAAGCCTCACTTTACTGGTCCCTTCCAAACCTCCCCTGTGGTCATGAGACTTGGATCATTGTGAACAAGATCCTAATATAAGTGGGCTAAAATGGGCTTCCAGTGGGGTGGCTGTATTCAGACTTTGAGATTAAGAGCTTGGAATTAAGCTTCTCTTTTTTCTAAAATCAACTGAGGTAATTTGGGCATGTGATTGGAAAACCTCTGAGTCTGTTTCCTTGGGAGGAGATTAGATGGAAGACCCAGAGCCAGACAGGATGGATCTCTGCTTTCAATGTCCTATCTATGGTGGCTCAGAGATGGTATTCTGTTGACCTATTTGAGCTACTGGTGTCTTTTTATAAACTCAAACCAGTCTGCTTGACCTTTGACATCAACAAAGCTTTTCTGTGACCCACTGTTCACTGGATAGTTTCTCTTTTTCAGACTACGAGTTAACCCCAGATATGGCTGGGGGTGAAAATCACACAGTATCATCAGCTTAAAAATCCACCAGTTCGTCTTGCACCAACACCCATGCTACATTCAAAGTCACTTAAAGTGACGGTGTGTATTTTCCATCACAATAGGGGCCGGCAGTACATACCTAAATCATTGTAGCCAAGCAGTACTTTTGTGTTTGAGTAACGCCGGTTTCACACTAGAAGAATCAACGGCACAAAACGGCAGCGGAACAGTTTACTCGTGAACTTCAAAGAGGTCCTTTTCACACCGGGAAAATCTTGGCAGCAGCATGGCTTCCTCACTGTGCTCTTCGCTGGACTCGCTAAATTACACAATCCCTCGAGATTTCAGATCATGGTTTGTTTATGCAATCCACCATTAAACCAAAAAGAAGGAAATCACGTTTGACATCGCTGTTTGATGTCATATATGATGTTATTCCTCTCCACTGCCAGGAATAAAGCCATGAAAACACATCCGTGCACTTGTAGACCGATGCTGTGAGTAAATCGAGTGAGTAAAGTCGTTGGGTCACACGTAAGCGTCGTGTACTGTAAATGAAATTACATTGCTGCAGTATTTTTATTTTGAAATTTACCGGGGATTTTACACTGAAACCGTGTGTGATTTCCTGTCTAGCCGTGTTAACTGCGGAAATGGCAAATCCCAAAAGCAGCATGTGGCAAAAACCCGATCCGTAGAAGAAAACATGGCATCCCTCAGAGACTAACCCCCAAATTCCACTACCTCCGCTCCGCTCCACTCCGGCAGGAACTCCAGAGCAAAATCGGTCTAGTTGTAGTCAATCAGAGCAATTCCACTATTGCTGCCGTGCTCCGGCAGTGCGGCGCAGTGCGCCGCCCTCTGCTCCGGCGTCCGGCAAAAATAGAATCAATCCTATTTTTGCCGGACGCCGGAGACCCTCCGCAGTCAATGGACAGGAATCACAACCGCCCAACAGGAAAAGGAGCAAGCACAACTTCCGTTTTTCACAATAAATCGATAAACAAAAAGCGTCTTTTGTTTCATATGCACAGGTTTAACAACTTTTAACAACTATCAATGGCGGCTGAAGTTTAAATGCACAAAATTAAGCCATAAATACAGTTTCCACTATCAAAGTAGTCACACTTTGTTGATCCAAACACTGCTGATCTCTCAACACAAATGATGGGCAGATTAAACAGTTCATTTCGATGCTTCTCCCACACAACGGGTGTTTGGATCTAACTTCCGCGTTTATTGCTCGGACTGTATCGCAAGATCTCGAAAATCCCGCGCATGCTTGTTTGCCCACCGCAGATCTCCGCACCGGAGCGGAGCCGTTGTAGAGCGGGTACAGTATAATTTGAGTTTGGAAGCGAGCGGCTGCGGAAGGCGGGGGCGGACCGGAGCGGAGGTAGTGGAATTTGGGGGTTAGGCCCAATCCCAATACTTGCACTTCCACCCTTGCACCCTTCAAATGTACGATCCTGACCAGGGGTGCGAGTGTGTAGGGTGTATTGATTCTCAAGTGCGGAAGTTAATCACGCCCCCTTTTCACCCTTGATTCGCACTTCAGCAAGTCTGCATCGATGCAGACTTGCTGAAGTGTCTTACCCACAATCCACTGCTCTGGGAGTAAAGGCTCAAGTTCCTTTTCTGAAAACACGTATTCTCTAAAAAAAAAAGTAGTTCATTTTAGGATGATTAGTTGGTGCTCTGAATGTTTTAAACAAAGCAGCAATGAATTTAAATGTATTTCAAATAACTGTTTGGTTGTTTGTTTGGAAGTTGTTAATAAAGGTTTTTGAAAAAGTAGCAGAGCGACCACTATCCCGGCATGCATTGCGATCGATGACGCAATGCTCCCTGTCTCAATTTGGCAATTATTTGCACACTTGTGCACCACGCACTCGAAGCATTACAGTGCGCTTTCTCCAAGTGCACTTTGCTGAAGACCGCAGAGCGAGTATTGGGATTGGGCCTCAGACCCATTCCCATATATGTCACACCGGATTTTAATGGTTATGTGTTACAAAGCTGCCAATATTTTTCAACAACATTTGATGCATTTTTCCATAGATTAACGATGAAACTTCACATTGTCTCTTTAAATTCTGTTTCTTCTCCAAGTTTCACTGAGTTTTTTTTGTGCAAGTTTACCTAACAAAGTGGCCAATGAGTGAATCCTCTCTGGTCTGGAAACACCTCTGAATGTCCCAGGAGAAGCAGAATGGTGTCGCTGTGAAGATAGATGTCTGGGTTTCCCTCCTTACCCTCGCTATAAAACATCTTGTAACTATAAATCCATGTGTTTCCTTTATGTTAAAACACAATCCTCTGTTGTGGTTTACTGCAAAACAGTTAATTTAGCTGCCAAGAGAATAAAACTGAGGTCATTTTCTTTGATTTATTATCTGAAAATTACCATTAGTTTGACACAACACATTCCCTCAATATGAATTAAAAAGTTCTGATATTAGAAAACAGGTTTGTTAATTTAATTTGTAAATTTAATTTATTCAGAAAAAAGTGTGAGACCTTTAAACTTGTGTACTCGAGGACATGTACATGAATAAGAAATGACTGGGAAATTTTTCTGTTTTCATCTGGGGCATATTATTATGCAAAACTCATCTTTTACAACCTTTACTGCTGCCATGTGGGTCTCTACTGCCTCTTTTAACAGTCCAAACGTGGAGAAAATCCATCTGAAGGTTTCCTGTCAGTGTCAAGCTGTTTCAAAACATCCCGATTTGTGATGTCACAAATGGGGAAATTAGCATCGAATCACCTGTCACATGCAATAAAGAGCTGGATGTCCTAGCTCCTCCCTGTTGGAGGAGCAGTAGCTCAACTCCGAGCCCCTCCTGGAAATCGGAGCTTAGCTTATAGCAGCCTGAGCAGGGGATGGGTGGGCGTGGCCAGCTCCAGCTTGTTTTCTTAAAGTGACAGAGCTTTGAAACGGCTCATTCTGGAAGGCACGTAAAACTGCCACTATTGCTTTATGTGAGAGGGATTTAGAGCAAAGAACTTCATAAACATGTTTGGTGTCAACAATATAACTCTCATAACTTAAGATTTTTTTAAAATCTGTCCCTATTTAATTTAAATAACACTTTTCAATCATGCACATAACCTACAAAGGAAACACTTTCACTTGTATTCAAATATTTATTGGTCATCTTCAAATTTCTAGCAAAAAATGAATGAATGAATGAATAAACAACTTTTTGTAGAAAAGCATGAGTTTTTGCTTTGTTTACCCTGCTGCTACTGTACACACCATCCCTCATGTCCACGTCTCCTCACTAACATCATCAACTCAGATGGCTCATTAAGATGGCGAAAAATTTGTTTGTCTGAAACATATTCCTGTTTGTGAGGAAAGGACCTGAAAGGCCATAAGATGAGTCCATTAATGGGTCTCGTGTTGGAGGAAGGCCCCTGATCTGATGGTATCAGTGCCGCGGGGCAGAGAACAGAACAAAAGCTATCAGGCTGCACTGAAAAACAGGATCACTATCTCTGAGAGTAGCCCAAAGCGCGCATGCACGCACACACACACACACACACACACACTCACACACACACACACACACACACACACACACACACACACACACACACACACACACACACACACACACACACACACACACACACACACACACACACACACACAGATATATAAGTCATCTCATCGAGCCAACGCTCACCTGAAGACTGACCACCTGCAACACAAAGGCAGAGCCACATAAAATCAGAATGATGGATGAAAGAGGAAAAGAGAGTGGAGTGGCAGCCATGGCGGCCTGCTACCAAAAGTTTGATCCTGCGGCATATCTGCAGTACAACTACACTCCACCACGGGCTGATTTCTCAAGAAAAGACAGCATTGTACCTTGGAAACTGGCACGTTTGCACAGGGCTTTTACAGAAGGTAAGGAGGACAAACTACATAAAACATTTGTTCTTGGACAAATAACCTCTTGTGTTTGAATGTATTTTAGTTTTGTTTGAAACTTCTGGCTTTTGTTAACATCTTCAAACCAGTGCTTAAATAATATAAAATACAATGAATCTTTAAGACAGTAACTTAAACTTTCAGAGCCCTTTGTCTACACTAAGCTGCCAAAATCTCCAGCTATCATTAGGCAAGAGGTGGGGGACACTCTGGACAAGTCACCAGTCCATCACTGGGACAGATGAGACAACCAGTTGCACACTCACACGAAAAACTTAGTCTCCATTTAATTCAACATGCATGTTTTTGGTCAGAGCACCTAGAAATCCCACACATGCATGGGGTTAACATGCTAGCTCTGAGCAGAAAGACTAGCTGGGATCAAACCTGTGACCTTCTCTCTGTTAGGCAATAGTGCACCACCGTGGAGCATCAAAATCAAACAAATTCATTCTACACTTTAATTTATCCAAGATGGTTTTTGTTGCATTTTCTAGCTCCGGGGCTTGAAACTATCCAGAAAACTGTGGTTCACAGAATTTAGACACAGAAACTTCTACATGAAATGATCATTTTTCAGATTAAATAAATCAGTTTTGTTGTTAAGGTTATCGTCTAAAACACTTCTGATTTGCTCAGAGAAGTCCATGCTCTCCCACTTCTTTTAATTTCCCCCATCCTCTCCCAGGTGATGTGAGGGGGGAGCTCCTGGTGGACATTGGTTCTGGACCCACTTTGTACCAGGTGATGAGTGGCTGTGAGGTTTTTAACAGAATCATCCTGACAGACTTCTTAGAGGTGAACCGGCAGGAGCTGAGGCGCTGGCTCCAGGATGAGGGAGGATGCAGCCTGGACTGGACTCCGTATCTGGAACACGTTTGCAAACTTGAAGGGCGACGGTATGAAAACATTGTTTTAGGCTCTTTTAGGAGACTTTTAATTGCAATGTACACTTTGCAAGTTTAGGTAATTGTTTTACAGCTTTCAGAGAATCTGGGGAAACTTTCTGAGCTCGTTGCATGGTAATCCCCTCTTGTCATTCCTTCCAGGCCCTCAGCTTGGCCCGAGAAAGCTGCCAAGCTGCGTCAGGTCACTTCGGACATCCTCCCTATAGACGTGCACTGCTCTCAGCCTCTGGCCCCTGACATCCTTCCTTCTGCTGGAGCTGACTGCTTGGTATCCAGCTTCTGCCTGGAGAGCGTCAGCCCTGACCTACCTGCCTTCAACAGAGCCTTGGGCCACATCCGGAAGCTCCTCCGACCTGGAGGTCACCTCATGCTCATTGGAGCCCTGGGAGAAAGTTATTACTTTGGAGGGCCAGGTGTAAGGATCCCCGTGGTCCCACTGAATGAAGCCCAGGTGTGCACTAGTTTGAAGGAGAGTGACTACACCCTGATAAGGCTGGAAGTTTACACACTGCCTCAGGACATGAGGGTTGGGGTGGATGATGTGACAGGAGTGTTTTTTGCAAAAGCAAAGAGGGATTAATCAGTTGAAATGCAGGGATGGTTAAATAAGTCAGTACAACATTTAATATGAAAGAAGTGTAAATGCATGGTTTTGCACTCTGACTTAACAAAATAATAATCAACTATTATCTCTTTGCATGAAAACTGTTTTTCACTAATCTTAAATCACTGATTACTACAAATGAACTTGAAGAAGGAAAAACAAAACAAAAAGCTTCACTTGATGATTGTTTTCCTGCAGATTATGTTTTATAAAGCTAAGCAACAGGACCCCCCCCCCCCCCTCGATTTTTTTTGTTTTACCAAAGAACGTTTGGTTGAGTTTATGATTAAAGGCTGCCCCCTGCAGTGCAAACATAGTTACTACAGAACTGGGACATTGTTTAAACTGGAGCTTCTGTTACAGCCTTGCAATGCATTTTGTCAACTCTTAGCTATTTGTAAAGCTCATCTGTCTGTTTTTTGACTCTGCTTCAATAATAAAAGATGAACTGTCCACACATATTTGTCTTACGTTGTGATCATTCAGTCCTTCTTTGAAAAAAAACACAGAAGGGATCATAAATTGTAAAACAAATCAAGAAACCCTCATTTCGGTTATTTTCATTTGGTCTTGTGTAACTCGAGTTATTGAACACGAGATGTCAGCATTGAGCCAACCATTGTGTATTCAGAACCTTTAAAAACAGACAGAACTCTAGTGTAACAGTTACATAAGATATGGCTGACATTTTGATATGATCAGTCATCTCAGTTTGGCTCAAATCAATCAGGAGCATTTAGATTTTGATCAGCGCTATCCAACTTGTTTCATCAGATCAGCTCACCTTCAACTACGCAAGTACTAACTAGGAATAAAAAATGTATTATAAAAGCAAATCTTATGTATTTGTTCGTGGAAAAGGTGACTTTTAAATGAAAATAAATGTCTACTCCCGTCACAAGGAGTCATAGAAGATAAGGAAATAAAACCTTTGAGCAAAACTATTTTCAGTCGTTCGTTAATTTTTATCTGATTCACAATAATAATTTCAGTTTTATCCTAAAATATTTCAAAAATGAAAAAAGTTAAATAATCTTGGGCTGTGCACACAAACAAATTATCTAATGATTGTCAAAAATCAGCCAATCTGAGGGTCATAAACTTGATTTGTTTTTATTTGATGTAAAATTGCACCAATGCCAAGCAGTAAATAAGCAAATAAACAAAACAAACACACACAAAAACATGACTTTTTCTGATCTGCAAACTCATTGCTAAGAGCTCATTTTTGTCTGTGAAGCACTTTGTGATTTCTGTCTGCGAAAAGTGCTAAATCAATAAACCTCTTCTAATCAGGTTTCTGCTTCCAGAATCATCATTTTCCATTTTGATGTATTAATTCACAACATATCAGTTGTAGTTTTCATTATCATCAGGAGATCAGAGCAATAAAACAATCAGTCAATCAAACAAACTCAAATCAAATACAAGTGACATCATAAAAAGAGCAGATTCACTCCAACTGGATGTTTTTTTACATTGTCAGATTTCAATCTAACATGTTCTGATGTGCCAGATTCTCTTTTATATCAATGCAGGAATAAAATATGGTATTTGTACACAACTTGTACAATTTAAGCAACAACTGTTTAGTAGTTTCTGTTCAGAAAAAGCACACCTGTTAGGAAAAGATCATGAATGAATTTGATTGTTTTGAAGATCTGCTTCTCCAGCTTTTGTGTTTTTCTACTGCTAATCGTCGTGCTACAAAAAGCCAGTTTGACATTAAACTAGAAAAACAGGGCTGCATTACTGTGATTAGTTGGATTAATCTGATAGGGTATAATCTGTGTGGATGAGATAATCTGTAATCCATCCCTTTTTTCTTACATCGACCTTGTGTTACATTCCAAAAAAGATGGACTTCACATCTGTTGGTTAATGTATTATTATTATTTTGCTATTGAAGATAATCACTTCCTGGGGACCTCCATCACCTATGAACTGAAGTGGTAGATGTCCATCAGCCCTCTCATCAGGAAGGCCCAGCAGATGATCTTCTTTCTGAGGCCTAGTCCACACGTAGCTGGGTTTTTTAAAAAAACGAATATCCGCCCCTCCAAAAACTTGCATCCACACCACCTCGTTTAAAAAAAAACTGTCCACACGTACCCGGATAAATACGTTGTTAAGGACATGCCAGACCTGTAGGTGGCAGTACTTCCCCCGTTCTTAACCTCGTCCTTCGTCTGTGGTCTTCCGCAAGGAGCAGTAATTCCGCTTGCAAAAACAAACAAGCAGAAAGCGCTTGGACAATTGATAAAGCGAGCGCAGCTCTGAGGGCATCCATGCTGTCGGCTAGTGTAAACACAGGTTGCACACGTGATGTCAGCATTTTTTTGTCGCGGAAAGTGACGTTGCGGACCTTAAAACTCCGGTTTTGCCTGTCCACACGCAGACACCCAAAACGGAGAAAACGCAGATCTTCACTTTGGCCGGAGTTTTTAAAAAGATCTGTTTTCGTGTGAAAAAACTCAGTTTTCGTGTGGATGACAGGCCAAAACGTAGAAAAATATCTATGTTTTAGCAGATCCCCGGCTACGTGTGGACAGGGCCTGAGACAGTTGAGAAAACTCTGCATGATGACCATGATCAAGGTCCAATTTTATACGGCCACCCTCAACAGCTCACCTCCTCTGTCACGTTGTGGTATGCAGGAGCCACTGCCAGGGACAAGCAGACTGCAACGTGTCAGGCGCGCAGCAGAAAAGGTAATAAGATGCAACCTCCCATCAATACAGAACCTGTACACCTCCAGGCTTCTGAGACGCCCAAGTCAGATAGCAGCTGACCCCTTTCACCCTGGCCATGGTCTGTTTGATACTCTACCTCCAGGAAGGAAGTTCAGGTCCTTACAGACTAGAACCTGATGCCACAAAAACATCTTCTTCCCCTCTGCTGTAAGACTCCTGAACAACCAATAACCACATTATCATAAGCCTGTATTGCTGCTCAAGAGTGATTGCTTTCCTGTTTCCTATGTTGATTATTTCTGATGTATCCTAATCTCTCTCTCTCTCTCTCTCTCTCTCTCTCTCTCTCTCTCTCTCTCTCTCTCTCTCTCTCTCTGTATATATATATATATATATATATATATATATATATGTGTGTGTGTGTGTGTGTGTGTGTGTGTGTGTGTGTGTGTGTGTGTGTATGTGTGTGTGTGTGTATGCATGTTTGCCCCTTGCCACCAAAACAAAATCCTAGTAGATAAGTCTCTCACCTACATGGCAATAAACCTGATTCTGATTAAGCACACATCCACATCAATTTCCTGTTAAAATATTTGGCCAAGAAAGGAACATAAATCATGAAAACTCCAGATTAAATATCTTGTACACCTAGCATGGCATGCTCATTTTTATGGCAGCTAAAAAAAATCACAAACTCATATATACATCTGAGCACATCCACACACACACGAGTCACTTCTGTTGTAAACTCTCTGATTCTTTTCCTGATGTTACTCTCCCTTTCCGTCCTCCCATTCTGTAGGCTTTTCATGGTCGCCATGGCAACGACTCCTTTGCTGTTGAGTTGCTCAGCTGATCACGTGGATCTCCGAGTGGTTTACTTTGTTCTCTTGAACCTGGCAATGAAAAGAATTTTCCAGTCGCAAGAACAGTTTGAATACATTTAGAAAAAAATCTAATTATTTAGAGAGATTGAGCAAAACCACCCACTTCTGGCTGACAGTCTCTGCTGCTTCTCATCTTCACGTTGCTCCTCTTCCTCCCCAGAGGAGAGCTCATCTTTGTCAGCAGTCTTCTTGTCTAAGGAGGACAAGTGAGCCTGGGCCATCATCTGGACGGCTGGAGATAAAAACAAAAATGTAATCGATTCTCTCCTCAGATAGACAACTGGTGAAAAATTAAGGGAAAGTATTAAAACTCTTTTAATTTTCAATTATTACAGATTTTTTTTCTGAATTTTCTGAATTTAAAATAAAACTTTAAAATAATTCTGGCCAGATCAAATTGTCTCTTGAGGTCAATAAAGACTGTTTTATTTTATTTTTATACAAACATGCATTATGTCAGGCAATAGGTTTTAAGTTCAACTTAAATGTAAGAAGATATGTTGTTGACATTAAGCCTGATTTATGCTTCTCCGTCTGCGTCAGTGCAGAGACACGCATCGCCATCATCCGTCCTTGCGTAGGGCTCTGGCAGGCACGCAAGTACGGACGGAGTCGAGCCCACTTTTTTAAACATCCGTCGAACGAGACGGATTACGCAAGCTAGTGATTGGTCAGGATGCCGCTGTTGTTTACAGTGCCACCATTGCAAAGAGAGCCGAGGATAACTAGCGGCAGACACGGAGAAGCTTGAAGAATACCTCGCGAAAAAACTAAAAATATGAACGTTTCATCCTCCCGTGACTGGAGGAGTGAAAAGATGCACAGCAAGCGTTTTATTTGTGGACGGAAATGACAGGAAACGTGTGTTTAGAGGTGGGGAGCGGCGCGCATGAAGAGGTGGGAGAATGAGAGACAAATATGTCTGTGTTAAAAGTCTCTTATATACACAAAAAACACAATCTAAACACACGATCTTGGACCGATACATGACAGGATACCACAGAACAGCGCTACGCCCTCTGTTGTCCTGCCGGGCAATTGCTTTGCAAAACTCTCCAGGAGACGGAGAAGTATGAGAGCAAAACGCTTCCGTCAATCCGTGCGTGTCTGTCCCTTGTGGAGCTGACGGAGAAGCATAAACCAGGCTTTACTGTTAAAAAGCATTTGCAATAAAGTGAGTGTTGGCAAAACCAGTAGTAGTTTTTATGTTGAGGCGGTGGAGAGTGTTTTTGGTAGATGCTGAAAGTAACTAATAAAGTAACGTAATCTAACTTAGTTACTTTTTAAATGAATGAATCAGTAAAGTAACTAAGTTACTTTTGGAAGGAGTAATAAGTAGTTAGTAATGAGATTACTATTTCAAGGTAACTGTGGCAACACTGCTCATATGTTAGATTCACCTTTTAAGATTAATTACTGTCATAAATGAACTTTTGTACCATATTCTAATTTTTCTAGTTTCACCTGCTAAAACAACATCCTTTATATTAAAACACATGCTGGTGTATGAAACTGACATTTACATAAACATGGGTGCCGTAGATCTTTGCTCCAGTGCTGGTTTAGATTTTGATTCCCTTTTTTAACATTAAATTAAGAAATGTGTTCTTGAAACATTACAATTTTAACGTTATTCTGGAAATTATGTGTTTTTTTTCATATAACTTTTTTCTTAATGTCATACATTTATCTTAAAATTCATCACTATAATCATCACCATCATTATTATTTACTTATAAAGCACTTTCACACAAACCAATCAAGGCAGCTCACAGTAAATCAGATTAAAAAAAATATTGTTTAAAAAATAATAGAAAACTTTAAAGACAAAAACATTCTGCTAATTAAGACAGGGAGAGTGAAAATACAACTTCAAGCAAGTCTTTTTTACGGGAACTGTGCTGCTCTGGGTGGCTGCATGTTGGGGTAGCTCTGTTGACTATATGTAAGTTTTGCCTTTTCTTGGACATTTTTTCTTCTAGTTTCTCAAGAAAAATTGTATTTTTTACATTTTCCTTTTCTGTTTCTGGTGCTGTGAAGCTTGGAGGATTTTTACTGCTATTTTTTCAATTTTTTCACTTTTTGAGCACTTGTTATAGCGCGTAACCATGGCTACAAGCTAGTTTACAATCGGGAGCAGCTGATTAACATTGGGAAGGCTGAAATAATAACTCAACTGAAGCCACAAATCCCAAATGAGCTAAAACGCAAGAAGCGTGGGTGCAGAGCAGGAGCAAAACAGAGACAGAGAAAGAGGAATTTCAAACCATCTTCCATCAATCATAATGGGCAATGTGAGATCGCTGGCCAACAAGACGGATGAAGTCCAAGCCCTTTCAAGGACTCAGCCAGAGAATCGGCAGTGTAGTGTTATGTGTTTCACTGAGACATGGCTGCAGGACCATATCCCCGATTCCAGCGTCTCTCTGCCAGGATTCCTGACTGTACAAGCAGACAGAAATCTGAAGAGGAGCGGGAAAAGAAAAGGAGGTGGAGTGGCAGTGCTTGTCAATAACAGATGGTGCCATCCATGTCATGTTTCAGTGAAATGTTGTCTCTGCAGCCCAGAACTCTTGTTGAACTCTTGGCAGTAAGTTGTCGCCCATATTATTTGCCAAGAGAGTTCACCAGTGTTGTCTTGGCAACCGTTTATATTCCGCCTTCAGCCATTACTGAAAATGCATGTGATGCCATCAGTTCCGTTGTCGCTAAGCTACAAACCCAGCACCCCAATGCATTTGTGGCTATATCTGGTCATTTAAATCATGCCTCACTCTCTGTTACACTTCCAACATTTCAACAGTTTCTCATCTGCTCCACCAGAGAAAACAAGACATTGGATTTGTGTTATGCAAATATAAAGAATGCATACATGTCCAACACAAGACCTCCTCTGGGACAATCAGATCACAATCTTGGTTTTCTCTGCTCAGAATACAAACCACTTGTTCAGAGGCAACCTGTGACAAGAAGAACTGTGAGAAAATGGTCACAGGATGCTGAAGAAGCCCTGCAGAGTTGTTTTGAGACCACAGATTGGATGACCCTCTGCCAAGGATATGAAAAGGACATCAATGCCATGACTGGATGTGTCACTGACTATATAAACTTCTGTGTGGACAATATCGTACACATCAGAACAGTGAGATGCTTCACTAATAACAAACCCTGGATCACCAGTGAAAGTGCTGCGCAGTGGCGCAGTGGTTACAGCTGCTGCCTTACAGTAAGAAGGTCCAGAGTTCGCTTCCCAGCCTGGAATCTTTCTGCATGGAGTTTGCATGTTCTCCCTGTGCATGCGTGGGTTCTCTCCGGGTACTCCGGCTTCCTCCCACAGTCCAAAAACATGACTGTTAGGCTAATTGGTCTGTCTAAATTGTCCTTAGGTGTGTGTGTGTGCGTGCGTGTGTGTGTGTGTGTGTGTGTGTGTGTGTGTGTGTGTGTGTGTGTGTGTGTGTGTGTGTGTGTGTGTGTGTGTGTGTGTGTGTGTCCTGTGTGTCTCTGTGTTGACCTGCTATGGACTGGCTCTCTGTCCGGGGTGTACCCCGCCTGATTGCCCGTTGACCGCTGGAAATAACCCACCCACCCCCCGCGACCCTACATGGACAAAGCGGGTTCAGAAAATGGATGGATGGATGGATCACAAGTGAACTAAAGAATCTGCTAAATGAAAAAAAGAGCCTTCAAGGAGGGAGACAGGGAATTATTGAGTATACAGAAGCAACTGAATATCAAGATCAGAGACAGCAAGGAGGCATACAGGAAGAAGCTGGAGAACAAACTACAGAGGAACAATATCAGAGATGTCTGGTCAGGGATGAAGAAGATCACAGGCTTCAAGCAGAGGAATGATTGCACAGATGGCAGCCTGGACACAGCCAATGAAATGAAAAAGTTCTTCAATAGGTTCGGTTCAGGAACAAACCCAGCCTCCTCCTCACCTGTCCCCAGCCAATTAGACATCCCATCCTCCTCTGATCCAACATTTTCCTGTCACACGCCAGCTCTTTTGTCCTCTAACGCAGTCACGGACTCTTCTGGTTCTAAAAATCTCTTCAACGAAGTCAGGAGATGCTGCTGCCCCATTTACCTCCCCCTCCCACCTATCTGTCTCTAGAAGTCAGGTGAAGAGGCAGCTGGAGAGACTGAACAGGAACAAGGCTGCAGGTTCATATGGTGTCAGCCCCAGGGTACTGAAGGCATGTGCAGAGCAGTTCTGTGGGATTCTGCAGCACCTCTTCAACCTCAGCGTGGCCCAGGAGAAGGTTCCAGTCCTGTGGAAGACATCCTGCCTAGTTCCAGTTCCAAAGAAAACTCGCCCATCAGTCAATGATGACTACAGACCGGTTGCCCTGCCATCCCACATCATGAAGGTCCTGGAGAGACTCCTGTTGGTCCACCTGAATAAGCAAATTAGAACATATCAGGACCCGCTGCAGTTTGCTTATCGCCATGGAGTTGGAGTTGAAGATGCCATCATCCAGCTGCTTCAACCAATCCACTGTCATCTGGACAAAGCAGGCAGCACTGTCAGGGTCATGTTCTTTGATTTCTCCAGTGCATTTAACACAATTGAGCCTGATGTACTTTGCCAGAAACTCCAGAAGACACAGGTGGGGGCCTCAACTATTGCCTGGATTAAAGACTACCTGACAAACAGACCACAGTT